AACCCTAAACCCTAAACCGTTTATGGTTTAGTGCTTAGGGTTTAGGGTCTAGAGTCCATGTCGATGACGCCTCGAAATCAAGGCCCATGCCGGGTATTTCTCCAAATTAGGGCCCCTGTTGGGATCCTTTCTAGAAGGGTGCCGTACTAGTGTGGGGACCGAAAAGGACCCTAACTTACAAAACGACCCGAGTCCCAAACCCTCAAGCCTTACTATTGGTGTCCTGCTTTTGCGGATTTAACCAGGGATTCGTGCAACCCGCAAGGTGGTAATACAGGGGCTTCAATAATGACCAGCACTAATTTGGGGGTTCCTGATTATACATATACTCTCAAGGACCCCACAGCCCTAGTAACCCTATTCGAATGATTAAGGCCCCTAATGTAGGAACCTGACTAAGAAACCCTGGGCCTATAGCCCCAAAGTAGTAGGATCCATATAAGGAGCCCCAATAAAGGCCCAAGGTTTCTTAATCAGGTTCCTACATTATTCCTAAACCCTAAAACCCTAAACCCTAAACCCTAAAACCCTAAACCCTAAACCCTAAACCCTAAACCCTAAACCCTAAACCCTAAAACCCTACTTTAAGATGAGAGGATGAGGATTTAGCGTAGGGGGCTTTGGGGTGGAGGCTGAGGTTCCTTTTTGAGGTTTGCGGGGCTTTTAAAGACCGTATATGGGGGGTTTAGGGTTTAGGGTTTAGGGTTTAGGGGTTTAGGGTTTAGGGTTTAGGGTTTAGGGTTTGGCTTCTCCGGGGCTGGTAGAAGGCATTCTGAAATCAGAATTCTGAGGGGGGTTCTGAAAAGATGTGGGGTACAGAATCAGAATTGGAGAGTTTTCGGAACATTCGGGGCTCCTTAGTGGCGGCTCTCTAGGTCTCTAATGGGTTTGATGGTTTGATGACGATTGGTTTAGACCTAAACCTTAAACCCTAAACCCTATTCCTAAAGCCTAAACCCTAACCCTAAACCCTAAACTAACCCTAAACCCTAACCCTAAACCCTAAACTATTCTAGGCTTTGACGGGGCCTGGGTTGAAGAGTGTGAAAATTGGAGGTTGTCGAGTTGCTTCGGGTTTGCAGGGATCGGGTCTATCTAACTACCCAAGCTTTGAACTTTTTGGGTTGTTATATTTTTGTTCAGGGTTTAGGGTTCTTTACATTTTTGGGGTTCTTATGGTTTAGTTTAGGGTTTGGGGTCTAGGGTATTTAGTAGTAATCTGAAAGTTTCGGCTTGTATTCCCCTTGGCTTCTTAGGGAAGTAAGCTAAGCTATATAGGTCGACGCTTGGGACTTAGGCCGTGCGCGAAAAATGAGACAGGATTGCGTATTCAAGCGCAGCTGGGGACTGAGAAGTTTAGGGTTCACGACATATAGCTGCGGGTTTGTTTTTTGGTGCGACGATGTTTAAAGTCTACCTGTAGTCTCCATTGTAGTTCCTTTTTTTGGTTTAACCAATAATATAATAAGGATTTTATAAGGTAACCCCCAAAAGGAACTACAATGGAGACTATAGGTAGAGTCTAGGGTTCAGATTTTTAGGCTTTGGGTTCGAACTGCTAGGTTTCGACTTTGGGGCTGGGGGTTACAGCGCTGCGTGATATAGATACCCAAGAATTCCCTATAGACCTTACATAATATCAGGGTCGGAGTGGATAACAATAGTACCCCGAGGGTCCATATACACTACCATTATGAAATTAGGTCTCAAAAGACCATCCTTACTATGGTTTTGGGGACCTAAATCCACAATAATAGTATGTCTGGACCGTCTGGGGTACAGTTCCGAATAAAACCATTCTCGAATTATTAGGGCCCTTACAGTACTCTGCTGGCCAAGCAAGCGCAGCATTTGGAAGCGAACCGGGCTGTGCACCCCTTTTAAGGCCAAAGTATACACCTATAGTCTCCATTGTACTTCGCTTTTGGGTTTGTCTAAGGCCACAATTCTATACTAAGGATCCTAAAAGTAACCCCCCCAAGGTAATATCTAACCGTAAACCACACCCGTAGAACCCATATAGAACCCTGGAAAAAACTTCTCAAGCGCTTTATTGTACTGCACGTGTAGTTAGCGTTGTTTTGTGAAGTGCTACTACATCGCAACTCTTCCAGCACATGTTTGCGAAAGAACTCTCCCTAGAGAGAGTTGTTGCCGCGCGAAGCGATGGCTCTGCGTCAGCAATCGATAACAGACGCCGGCCCCCGCCCGCGTCCCGCTCTGACCCTCACGCCTGAGCAAAAGGAACGCACACAATTGCGAAAGGAGCTGACGGACAAAAAGCAGAAAATCGAGTCTCGACCTTCAGTCCCAGGTGGAGCACTTAAAGAAGCATGTCGAGCTTCTGTCGGAAACGCTGAGTTGCAGCTGACCGACAAAGGGCAGGAGATCGAGTCTCTCCACAAGGTGGAGTTAAAGAAGCACATCGAACTTGTATTGAAACCCTGAATTGCAAACCCTATATGGGAGTTTCCCAAAAATGAGGGGTACCTTATTTTGGGGGTCCTTATCATAAGGATCCTACTATTTAGGGTGCTATATTAGGCCCCAATATACAATCCCTTTACAGCCCTTCTGAGATCCTTCGACTTAGACTACTCCTATAGAGACAGGGGACCATAAGCCCCAAAGTCATCCAACACATCGTCCCAGTCGTTCGAGCTTTGTTCCCTGTTCAATTTTAGACCAGAGGTTTAAGGCTTTTACGGGGATAACAGTATAGCTTGACGCACCTTGTAGGGCCCCTTTAAATCTCGTATTAGGGTGTATAATAAGCACCTACAGAAGTGATTTTGTAGGTTAAGGTAGAAGCCTAAACAACTTCCGATACTCTTGCTTGAGCCTCCGTGTTTCGACTATCAAACATAATACGTACCAGAACGTTGCTGTACGGAGTAAGGCCCGTTTCTTCGGGTTTGGGCTTTTGTCTGTACGGGGTTTAGGGTTTGGGCTTTCGGGTCTCCATGTTGGGGCATTATAATAAAGTAGCAATGAGAAAAACCGTAATCATAATCATAATCAGGAGCCCCTAAAATAGTTTGGTAACTAAACCCTAAATCTTAAACCCTAAATATATAGGCCCCGACATTAGGGGGTTTAGCCAGGTTTGGGCTTCAAGGCTGTTGGATGGCTCTCGGTTTGGAATTCCAAAGCCCGCCCACACCCAGAAAGTATTGAGCCCCACCACCATTTAAGATTTAGGGTTGTGGGTTTGGGGTTTACGTTTAAAGGTTGGGGGCACCACCATTTAGGGTTTAGGGTCCTGGGTTTTGGGTTTAGGTTTAAGGCTTGGGGCTTAGGGTTAAAGCTCCTTGACCCAGACCCGCCTAAACCCTTCCAAGCATTGAGCCAACCGGTCAACAGTCTGCCTTTGCTCTAGGCAACTTGCTGGCGATGTGGCTTTATGCCAAGGCACCCGTTTCTGCTTAGATGGTCAAGTGTTGTTGGGGCTTGAGAATATGTTGGGGCTGCGGGTTTGAGCTTCCGGCCACCCATACTACCCTTATAACCCCTTTCGGAGAAGTCTTTGACTTAAGATTGAATCCCTATCCTAAACCGTAAACCCAAAACCGGTCGCCAAACGTCCAAAGACCCTTAATTTTGAACCCTAAGCCCGAAGCCAAAACCCACGGCAACGAGGTGCCTCGAGCTTTTGCTTCGGGCTAGAGCGTCTGAAGCTTTCCCTCCAAAATCTAGGGGTCCACAGGGTAATATAGGGGTGTATAGGCTAACCTACGGGTCTGTAGTGGGTCCAGGGTAATTTAAGATTTTGGAGTTTAGGGCTTACTTGAAGGGTACCATGCCAGAATGGAGAGGCCTGGAAAATGTCAAAAATCCTGAGTTCGGGAGTTCTGGAGTAGCATACTTCATTACGTTTATTTTGTGGATTTGTTCCTGAAAAGAACCAGTGTGAAATCTCCCTGCGGGGGTTACTGCGGTACATCATAGATGGTTCGAAACCTATAACCCCAGGCCCTAAACCCTAAATCCTAAGTCTAAACTCTAAACCCTAAATCACCCTAAACCCTACTACTTCCTATAGACCCTAAACCCTAAACCCTAAACCCTAAACCATATTTAGGTAGCTGGAGCCCATGGGTCTGCTATGAAGCGACGCGGAGGTGTTGCACCGAGCTTTCTGTTGTGGTTTGGGAGTGGGAGCCGCGCTGCGCAATCTAGGATTGCTTCGGACTCTGCCCTATACGCCTTATATTTAAGTCTAAGCATTATAACCCCAATTTAGGGTTTAGGGTTTAGGGTTTAGGGTTTAGCCTTGCCCAAAGGGTCCTAGGTACTGTTATGGGGGATACTTCCCTAAATCACAATAACAATTCCTAATATAGAAACCCTAGATTCTACTATATAGGTACTTTGGACCCTTTGGGTTATATTTACGTCTAAGCATTATAACCCCAATTTAGGGTTTAGGGTTTAGGGAAATAAGCCTGATCTAGTTCCCGAACAAAAGCCAAAACGCAGCTGCACACACAGGTCAGAAGCTTTACACAGACCATGTACCCAGGGGTTCCTAATTGCCAACACAGTACAAATTATGATCGGGCGGAGCTGCCAGCATGATTCGATTCCAAGTACTTACGATGCTTTGGGAGCAGACTTTGATACGAGATATAAGGGTTTCCGAAAGAAAATAGGGGACCCTAATATAGTACCCTAAATAGTAGGATCCTGATTATCAAGACCCCAACATAAGGTACCCGTCTCAGGTACCACGTCTACTTGCGAGGGGTGGCTGGCCGCAGGTGCTGCGCGACTCGTTGCAATACATTCAGTCTGGTACCCTAAAGAAGGGTCGTCCCTTCGGAGGTCCGTTCATTAAGCCCCAGACCCTAAACCCTAAACTCTTATGGGGTTCTTATTAACGGATTAGGGCATAGACGGGGGAGGGGTCCCGTCTATCCTCCTCAAGGCAAACTGGCTAAATGGTTTTAAAAAGCAGCTCAGCACTATTACCCCAACAACCCTATGACACACATGAATTACCCTAAACCCTCAACCCCAGTTCATGAACAAGGGCGACAAGGCCCTCGAAACAAGATTCAACCTCGCAAAGCATCCAAACCCTGAAATCCCCAATCGCCGCAGCCCACGCTTTTTCGTCCTGCATCCTAAACCCGAAGCCCTCAACCCTGAAGACACCCTAAGCCTTGCAAATCCTTAACCCCAAACCCCCTAAACCCTAAACCCTAAACCCTAGACCCTCCTCCGACCCTCCATACCCTAAAGAATTTGGGACCATATACCCCTATTTTCAGGGCACGAGGAGGGTCCATGTAGGCTGAAAAGGCGCACTAGGGCAGCTGACGGAGGCCTCTACCCTCAGACCCTAAAACTCTAAGACCCTAAAGCCCTAAACCTTAAACCCTGAACCCTAAACCCTAAACCCTATAAACCCTAAACCCTAAACCTTCAACCCTAAACCCTAAACCCTAAACCCTAAACTAGAAGAAAGCCACCAACAAGCAGCACCAGACCAGCTGAGGCCTCTACGCCCTCCAGGTGTCTCTTGGTGCCCTCTGCCTGGCGGTCTTTCAGTTGCCCGGCAGTTGTTACGGAATCCTAAAACCATGTACTTAACTAGGTTCAGGATTCAGGATTTAGGGTTTAGGATTTACTCGTAGGATTTAGGGTTTAGTATTTAGGATTTAGGGTTTAGGATTTAGGATTTAGGGTTTAGGATCTAGGGTTTAGAATTTAAGGCTAAAGGGTTTAGGGCTAGGTTTCCCAGTAGGACCCTCTTGCCCTTTTTCTTTTGGGGTTCCCTTATCAAAACCAAATAAGTAGGAAAAAGGACAGACTTATTTTTGAGGGTCTACTGGGGAACCTAGTTAAGTAGCTAGACAATTACCAACATCATCCCTTTACGTAGGTGCCTTGGTGATAAGTAAACTATAGGTGAAGGAGCCCAAAACCCTATTCAAGCTACTAAAGAGCCCCTACAGCAAGACTTTTATGGTAATCCTTATCGATCCGTCAAAACGGAACCTAATTCTAATTATTGAGGCCCCTATATATGATCAAACCCTGAACCCGAAGCTCTGAGCCCTAAACCCTGAACGGTAACCTAAGGCTCAGACTCACAATAGCCCGAAAGCCCTACATAGTATGGTCTTTGGGCCCCTAAACCCTAAACCCTAAACCCTAAACCCAAAGCCCTTTGAATACGAGCCCTTCGAGACTCAGGGTTGCAGAGCTCTCTAGGGGCTTTCGGGTTTAGGGTTTAGGGTTTAGGGTTTAGGGCTTCGAAGTTTTGGAATCGAAGCAGTTTTGTTGGGCTTTCTAGGATTTATAGAGGGTTTAGGGTTTAGGGGGCTCCCTTTAAGAAACCACTGAACTGACTTATAGATCCTATGTACAAACCCAGCATCCGAGGTACTTCCGTGGGTGGTACACATAGAAACCGTTGCAATACTCCCCCCCGCCCTCACAGAAGCTCCACTTCCTGCCATGCATGAGGAAGCTGTAGCCCAAAACCCTTACTTTTTAAAGGACATGGACAAGGACGTGTCATGATGCACTAGTTGATTTTCGGATACAGGCACACCCTACGACCAGAAGCTCAAACCACACACCCTCAACCCTGAACCCTGTACCACGCTTTAGGCGGCGAAAAAATGAAAGGAAAACAAGACAATTCAGCTAAACCCGCATATGCGCCAGGCAGCGAAGTATCCGATTCTATACTATAATGTAGCTCAAAGCGTTGCTCAAAGTATTAATCGTAGACCCCGAACCCCAAACTCCCTAGAACTAGACCTCTTTCGAGTACACCGAGCTCTGAGGCCTGGTCTAATTATAATTAGTGAGGCCCCGATACGAGACCCTAAACCCTAAGCCCTAAACCCAGAACTACCATAGAACGTTTGTGCTATCCTGGTACCCTTTAAAGGAACCCAGAACCCTTAGACCCGCCCTAAAACCCAATCCGTTCATGGAACCCTCGGCAGGACCCTAAACTAAACTGAATCTTGAACCCTAAACCTTAAACCCTAAGCCCTAAACCTTAAACCCTAAACCCTAAACCTTAAACCCCAAACCCTAAACCTTAAATCCTAGGTAAACTCCAACCCCACCCCCTGCCTGACGATCTCATCGAGTTCTGAGGTGGCTGGAGGCGTCCGATCCGGTGAGCCGCAGCCCTTTCGAGTTGGATGCCTGATATACTTAGGGCTACTTGGAAATATTTGTTCTTCTTTGGTTACTATAAACCCTCAGAAGCAGCTGAAACTTAAAACTATAGTTTTTGCTGGGGGTCTAAGTTCAGTATAGTATAGGAGCCCTGGTACTCAGAATAGAGCCAAATCTATTATTGTACTATGACTATAATATTACGATAAGTGAAATATACAGTTATGATATGTTATGGTTTATAATAGACTACAACTTTAATTTATGTAATATCATTATAATAAGGAGCCCCAAAAAAACCTATACGAATTATCCTTAGGCTCCTGAGTACGTCTATGGTCTTCCTTTAAAGGGCTTAGGGCTTAAATTAGAACCCTAAACCCTAAGGTTTCCCTTGTTGGTGGATAAGAGGCTACTCTTTACGAACATGCTTCAGAGGCCTCTAAGGGCCAACCTCGTAATGTAGGGGGTTTTGGCGGCTTAGGGTTTAGGGTTTAGGGTTTAGAGTTTAGAGTTTAGGGTTCAGGGTTTAGGGTTTAGGGTTTAGGGTTTAGGGTTTTAGGGTTTAGTGTTTTAGGGTTCAGGGTTCAGGTTTAGGGTTTAGAGTTTTAGGATTTAGGGTTTGGGGCCCCTTACTTTAGATCTCTAAGCCCTAAGCCCTAAACCCCCTGTCTTCATATGGGTAGTTCTCTTAGATTAGGGCTTTAGGTCCCGAACATATCGTACGGCACCCCAAAAAGGATCCTAAAAGGGACCCTAACTTAGAGAACCACCCATATATATATATATATATATATAAATAAATAAATAAATATATATATATATATGTGGAGGGGTCCTTTATGTATCATTTGACCCGGCTATTGGGTGCATGATATGTACTACACATGCCAAGACAGCTACCTAACCACATTCACAGATAATCTTCCGGCTCGTGTTATAGTCTGTATACTTCGCTTGTCATCTCCAATGGTGACATACAATGTGTACTGAC